CTTTAACATCCATTGAACAATTTTTGTTCAACAAATCTTTATTGCAAAGCAACTATGTATCATGCATATATTAGGTTGAACCATATGAAATGCTGATATTTAAACCACTTTTTAAAAGCTTTTTGTTTTGAGACAATATTAGAATCAACACAAACTTGCAAAAATAGTACAGAGAAATCTATACATTCCTCCACCTTCCCCCAAACATCTTACATAACTATAGCACATGGTCAAAGAGGGAAACTGATATTGGCATCATATGATTAACAAGTCTACAAACTCTACTTGGATTTCCCTGGTTTTTATATGCAATCATTCTTTAAAAGCAAGCAAACAAAGAAGCTCACTTTATATACATATATATATCCTGAACATCTTTGTATGTCAGTACTCATATCTAGGGGTGTGTCTTACTAATAGCAACACTCAGCTCGTCTTTAGCTGTGAGTTAATGGGTTTCTAACAGCGATCTCCAAAGTTTCGCTTAGAAGGTCCCTGTGGCATTGCTTCAGAGAAATGATACACACCCCAAGAATTTGCTCTTGACCCAGGCATCTTGCAAAGTTTCCAGTGATTAACATGTGGTATATATTTTACAGTTAAAATTCTCTCATTTGAGAAAATTTAGAAAGTATACAAAGTACTGAAAAAAATTTTAATTGCCTATAATATTTCCATTCAAAGTCAGATGCATGTCGTCTTTCAGGATTTTTAAATTTTCTTTGTGGAACAAGATGTATGCATGTGTTTGTATGTTCTTAAGTATTTACATACTCAATTCCTATACTAATTATAGCTTTTCATCCTTTTTAAAAAATTACTGTGAAATGATCATTTTCTCGGGTCATTCAAATTCTTTGTAAAAAGGCATCCAGAAATATAAAGGATAAAAAGGACATAGGAGATCAGTTGTGCAATACCAGCATTTTCGGATGAATAACCTGTGGCTCAGAAAGAGGTAATGTTGTGCCTAAGGTCACGCAGTCAGGAAATGTGGGATACACAGACACTCAGTGACAGTGAAGGGTGGGGGCGGCCCAGGTGCAGCCTCACAGCGCTCCAAGGTCTGGGCTTAAGTTTTGCAGGAATTCCATTTTGCCAGAATACCCATGCCTACCAAGAACTCAGTCAAGAGCCTAAAATTAAACCAGCAAGCCAAGTTACTAATTTACAATGAGAACTCTGCCAAGAGTGTCCATGTTTTGGTATTTTTTCATGTAAATATGTTCTCACCCCGTAGGCAAATCTAATTATTAATCAGGTATTGGTGAGTCCATAGAGCTGGGAAAAGTATAGTTAAGTTGAAGATTCTTTTATTGTTATTACATGTTAATTAATTTCTTTTGGATAGAAAACATATATATGGTGAAGGTACAAAGTGCATAAAAAATTTTTAAGTGAGGGGCGCCTGGGTGGCTCAGTCGTTAAGCGTCTGCCTTCGGCTCAGGTCATGATCTCAGGGTCCTGGGATTGAGCCCCGCATTGGGCTTCCTGCTCCGTGGGAAGCCTGCTTCTCCCTCTCCCACTCTCCCTGCTTGTGTTCCCTCTCTCGCTGTGTCTCTCTCTGTCAAAACGAATAAATAAAATCTTAAAAAAAAATTTTTTTTTAAATGAAAGGTCACTCTTCCTTGCATCCCTTGTGCCCATCCCCAGGGGAAGATCGTAATGACCACTGTGTCTCTGTATTATTTTCCCAGGGATGCTGTAAATAAAAACTTACCAGAAATGTAGTGATGTGAAACGACACAAATTTATTATCTTTATGGTTCTGGAAGTCAGAAGTCCTAAAATTGAGGTGTCAGTGGGGCCATGCTCTCTCTAAAGGCTCTAAGGGAAGATCCTCCCTTTGCCTCTTCCAGCTTCTGGTGCCCCTGGGATTCCCTGGCTTGAGGCCACATCCCTTCAATCTCTGCCCGTCCTTACGTGGCCTTCTTTGTGTGTGTCTCTCTGTGCCTCCTCTCCTTATAAGGACACCTGCCATTGGATTTAGGGCCTATCCTAAATCTAGGATGGTTTCATCTCAATATCCTTAAACTAATTACATCCGCAAAGATGCCCTATTTCTACAAGTTCACAGTTGGAGGTTCTGAGGGCACACACATTTGAGGAGGACACTATTCAACTTACCACAGTTCCCCTCCCACAGAATTGCTTTTCTTGCAAGTCTTGGGGCGGGGGTGGGGGGCGCTCCTGTCTTTGCCCGAATGTGCTTGTTTAAGAGTTCAGGGTCTTAAGAATGTAAGGGCCAAGATAGCACGGAAGACCCAGAAATGAGTAGTCTTCACTTGTCTGCCCCATGCCCTAGCTGTTAGCATCGCTGTTTCACAAGGAACAAAAATCGCCGTCCACTCGTGTGCCTTGTTGCTATTCAGTGTCTAACACCATCTAACACTGTGGCTTTGGAGAGCTTCTCAGTGGGGCTTTTGGCATTTTCAGAAGAAGAGGAAGAGGAGGAGGAGGAAAAAGAGGAAGTGGGGGAGGAAGAGGCGGAGAAAGAAGAGGAGGAAGAAAAGGAAGGGGGGAGGGGGAGAGGAAGTGGGGGTCGGTATCACCCCGCAGCTCTTGTGTTTGCAAAATGTCTCTGCCATTAGACAGTTCCTATTTAAAATACGGATTAGCTCTGACAAAACTGACCTAGGCTGGCTTTTCTCTTTGGTGGTTTCAATTTCGGTCTTATGCATCACAAATGATTTTAATACTATAGGATTTTGACAGAACAGGGGTAGGAGTTTTGAATTCTTACCTGCAATTCCCAGCTCTAGGGAATAATAGTGGAGAGAAAAACAACAATAACTGAGTTGTAGGATATGAAAACATGCTGAATCTTCCCCTCCGAGTTTTATGCTCGTAGGCATTCAACAAGTCACTTTCCTGTCGAACAAATAAGCTCTCTTGTACCAAACTATGAGCCTCAGAAAACCTATCACATTTTTTCTTCTGCCTCGAGTGCAAGGAAACTTGGGAGAAACAATGATCAATTTCAGTAATTATTCACCTAGATTTTTACTATACTCAGCCCTTGTCTATGTGCAACTTTATGTTCTGTTTCTATCAGCAGGTTTTATTGCACCTACGATTTCATATCCTTTCCAGGCATTTTCTCCTGCCCTGGCTTCCATGACACTGGTCTCACTTTCTGCTCCCTGCTGTTTGTTTCTTCTGCTTCTTTCTCCTTTGCCTTCTCTGTCCACCTTTCAAGTGCTGGGGTTTCTTAGGATTCCTGCTCTTCTCTCTCTGACATGCGACCCTTGGATTTCTTATACATTCAGTGGATTTTAACTGCTCCCTGGAGACTGACAACTCCCGAACCAGTATCTGCAACTCCAACCTTTCCCTGATTTTGGTTCAGATTCGAATCCATCAACTGCATGTGAGGCGAGTGGTGTTTGCGTGTGTCTCTCGGGTGCCTTACTCGATGCCTATGGATTTGAGCTTGGCACCTTTCTTCCCTGGACTGCCCTTTCTGCTTTGGCTGTGCCCAGTCTAGGAGGACAGTGAGGCAATGGCCCAGAGTCTCAAGAAGGAATCTGCGAGTTATCTAAGACTTGTTTCTTTCTCACCCTGACGTTCAATGTCCACATGCTCTTGATCTCCTTGCTAAGCATTTCTAGAATCTCTCTCTCTCCCTTCATTTCTGTTAGCTCTGAATTTCGGACCTGGGATCAGATGGTAATTGATCATCTCATCTTGGCTATTTCCTTATTCTCTTAACTTGACCATAGCATGCTTAAAATGTTTCTGTGGTGTCCCACTGCTTACAGAATTAAACGGAGACTTACCAGCATGAAACAAAGGCCTTCCCTGACCGGTTCCTGCCCGTCTCTGTGGTCATCCCCTGCCACTCCTCCCCAGCCCCACCCCCCCCATTCTCTGCCTTCACGGCTGCCTGCCATTCCACCCAGAAGCACACTGTTTCATGCTTCCATGGCCTTGCTGGGGCTGCGCTTCCTAAAAGGCCTTTACCATCTTTCTTTGCTAATTCTTACACAACTTTAACTCAGCTCAAATGTTATTCATTCAACAAACACTTATTGAGCACCAAGTGTGTGCCAGGCTGTGTTAGGGTTCCCCTGTTGAGCAAGCAGAGAGGGACACTGTCCTCAAGGAGTTTTATCCTAGCAGCTCTCACTGAGCTACGATGTTGGGCTACGTGCCTCTCCCTCTGCCCGCCCTCCCCAGCAACCTCTCACAGCCCATCGTTACCCGTGGCCTATGAGGCTGAAATGACCTTCTGGTCCTCATTGTCTAATGTACTGTGAATTTCATGGTTGGCGCGGGGCATGCTGTATTCATCTTAGTGTTCTAAGTGCCTGGGACAGTGCTTAGCACAGTATGACTCACTTGTTGAACTCAACTATCAGTTATAAATAAATGAGCCCATGACTCAGCTTAAACTTTACATTCTCAAGGATACCTACCCTTGATCCTCCAGAAGAGGTCAGCCATCCTTGTGATATGTCCCTCTCCATATCTATTTATTGTACGTATTGTACTATTTATTCCCAGGATGTTGCACAATTGTAACATTATTTTTTTCAACTATTCACCTTATTTACTTTAATTTGGTTTCCTGCACTAAGTTGTAAATTTCGTCAACGAGGCTGATGGTGCAGCTAGCAGAGTACATGGCCTATGATAAATGCTTAATAAGTATTTGTTAACTGATAGGCATGTTTTCTTACTGGGTAAAAATCCTGGATGCATTGCTGGCACCTGCCGAAAATTTAGATCCAGTCGCCAGCTGGCCTAGTGCCCCATTCTACCCATCTATAAAATGGAGATGTTCCTGTGGGATAATGTTGGATAGTAGACGAGCTTCAGATAAAATCATCTTAAAAGAAATGTGTTGTAAATAAATCATATAGAAAAAGGGAAGATGGGATTACAAGATTAAACACATCAACTAAAATTCCAGATGAGCTTTGAAATGCCCATTGCAGGATGTGGTATTTTATTCCCCCACAGGAAATATAAACATTTTCCCCCTTTTTCCTTCCCAGCAACGGAGACAGAAATGCCTGTGCCAAATGGAGTAGAATCAGAACAGGTAAAATTTTTGTGAAGTATTTGAAGCATATGACTTCGATTTTTAAAATCCACAATAGAGGTTTGCAGAAATAACTGGGGAGGCAAATATATCTGAGCAGCAACTGTGGGGAAATAGCTAAGCAATTTGTAGACTGGTGCCTTGTGCTCTTGGCAGAAATAACGTTCCTATCGTTACCTCTCTATGTGCAGACACCTTGAAAAACAAAAAGAAATAAAAAGTACAAAATCATGGAAAAATCATTATGTGTGCCTTCTGTGTGGCCCAGGATTAGTGACATCCTGCAGGATCAACACTTGCCACCAGCATCCTTCTTATTTGCTGAGTGTACCCTTCATTAATTCTTATTATCACAAAAGTGATTCAAGCCGCTTTAAGTAAAAACTGCAGGCAGTATCGACACCTATAAGGGAAAAGTGAAGGCCCCCCCATCCCTTCTTTCTTCTTTCCCTTCTCCCTCCTGAGAGGGAGATTGTTGCCCCTCCTTGCTGCTGTGTCGAGAAAAGGTGTCAGGACCCCTTTATACTCATAAACATTAAAACAGAAATTAAAAATGATGTTTATTAATTCATTTAAAAGCAAGAATAACAAAACAAACCCATGACATGTTGACGTAAGTAACACTTTATGAAAAATAACTATATTTTCCCAAATGAAAAAATATTAGAAAAATGGCATTAGGTGACATTGTTTTACATTTCTGCAAATCTCGTGAGTGTCCGCCTGACCGGGAGGCAGAAATTCTCTTATCTGCCTGCATATTCTAGCATCGGAAGGATGACCTCAGCACATTACTTGTGAAGTCACCTAGGGGAAAACCCCACTGTCCATCTCATGAGAGTGACAGTGAAAATGGCAAATAATGTTTCGTGAAAATCATTTTGATCTCATGGGTCCCCTGGCTACACTTTGAGAACCGGTGCTGTAGAAAATTTGAAATTGAGTTCCATTTTCTCTTGAATCTTGTTGCCTCTGGAGGGCTGAGTCAGCTGTGAAGAGAGCTGCCTGGGACTGGGTAGATTTCCTATCTTCAGACCCCTGAACCCCACAGCCCATATGCCTGAGGTCGAAGACAGGAAAATTGGGCGGTCTGAGTAAATGTTCCAGGTTTTCAGAGATTTTCCAAGAAATTCTGATTTGTAAGCCTGCTTTGTTTTGATCTTGAGCCCTATCAGGCAAAGTGGGGGTGGGGGACAAGCAATGAAGCTACTTGGTGAGTGGAAGGTATGACTGGGACAGGAAAATCGTGCGGGGGTAATGTTCAGAAAGGACTGGCCCAGTCGCCTTCCCTGTGTCTCACCAGGTAAAAATGGCCATCAACTCCGACCTGCTAATGATCATCGTTCCCTCCCTGGGATTCGTGCTGTTGGTGTTGCTTGTGGCGTTTTTCCTTCGAGGTAAGGAGGGCAGGCCCCGGGTGGGATGGTGCCCTTTGGAGCTGTGGAGCCTCTAGGAGGATCTGGGGGTGGACTGATTCTGCTTCCTGCCCCTGTCTCCTTCCCTCAGAGTCCCCTTTCCATCATTGTCTCCATCCTGGTCAAGGAAGTAACAGGGAAACTCCTTCTCCCTTGGATGCTAAAGCCTTCATGTTATCATCTTCCTGATGGAGTTTATATTTTGGAAAAGAAAAACAAGAGCACCTTCATTCTCTGGAAATTCAATCTCTGGCAGTCCTGCTGTTATACTCCTGATGTGTCTAACTGCTTTCCTTCTCATGACTGCCTTAAGTGAAAAGTGCTATTATTATCATCATTGTCTTAGGGCAGAGGAAACCCTGGCCCAGGCTCCTCCTCTGGCTAGGACTGCCCCAGGAAGAAAGCCATGAATAATCTCGGGCTTCTTCTTCCCTTAAAGCAAGATTTGTTTACCTGGGCTCGACAGATAGACCTCAGGGGAAAGTGAATCCCTTGAAATCCTGTGCAAAGGTACTTGCATGTTCCTATCTGCACTTCTCAGGGGGTGGGGTCCACGGTTGTTATTAGATTCCCCAGCTGGTCTGTGACCTTACACCTTCCACCCCCACCCCTCATTGTCAAAAAAATAGTTTTAACACGCTGCAAAAAGGAGTCATGGAACAGGGTTTATAGTTGTCATGCAAAGTAGAGGCATGTGACATCTGGTCCTGCTGTAAAATGGGGGAAAATTGTTCTGTAGTCATTAAGAGAAACTGTTTCGAGGTGGCAAATGAGGAGATACGACTGCTAACCAGCTTGGCCTGTTCAAGCAACAGTAGTGAAACTTGCATATTTCAGTACCTGTCCCTAGTGAACACTGACAAAGGCAATTCGGAACTCAGTGGGAAGCCTGCCATTAGCCTTCCTACAAAGCCCTCATAAAGGCAGAGGACATTGGTTCTCACACAGTTTTGGAATTTCTGAGTATGTCTCCTAAGGAGGTGTTTTAAAACTCAAGTGAGTGCTTGAATTCTGGGTGGGCAAATGACTTAAGAATGAAGCAGCATGGGGCGCCTGGGTGGCTCAGTCAGTTGGGCATCTGCCTTCGGCTCGGGTCATGATCCCAGGGTCCTGGGATTGAGCCCCGCATCAGGCTCCCTGCTCAGCGGGAAGCCCACTTCGCCTTCTCCCTCTGCTGCTCCCCTTGCTTGTGTTCTCTCTGTCTATCTCTCTCTCTGTCAAATAAATAAATAAAATCTTAAAAAAAAAAAAAAAGAATGAAGCAGCTTAACACTATTGCCCACAACATGGGAACAGATGTGTAATTGATGGGCACTGCCTTGGGGCCCGAAGAAGCAATCACTTGATCTGATTAAAGGAACAGCTTTCCCTGCCAAAACCATTCCCTCAATTCTCACCTTTGGTCCAACTCCGCTCTTGGTAGGGCAGCTTTGGGCTTTCCCAGCATTTCACATGTTCTAGCACAGCTACTCTGCTTATCCTATGGCCTTGTCTTTTCAGGGAAAGTCATGAAAACCAGTTGGTTCCCGAAACACACAAGGTAATTCATCTTGCATGACTGATTGTTGTAATGATTGTACAAGCTGTTACAAATGATTAGATACTACTCAGTGGTTTAATGACTTGTGCTCGTGTTCTGATTAAATACAGGGTTGGAGAAGTATGGCATTAGAGGTGAAAAAATGTGGGATTTAACTCACTTTAACCTCTGTCTTGGTTAACACTATGTTATGTTTGTCTGAAATACAAATATAAAGGCAGTTTGCATTAATAGAAGCATGGCATGCAAAAGAAGGAAGGTGATATGTCTTTGTCCTCTGTGCTCAGAATTCTTTGTTCAACTCTGGGCAATTCATTTTATTTATTTATTTATTTATTTACTTACTTACTTACTTACTTATTTGTGAGAGAGTACAAGCAGGGGGAGCGGTAGGCCGAGGGAGAAGCAGGCTCCCTGCTGAGCAAGGAGCCTGATGCAGGACTTGATCCCAGGACTCTGGGATCATGACCTGAGCCAAAGGCAGACACTTAAATGAGCCACCACCGCATCCCTAGGTGATTCATTTTAAAAGACATTGTTAAACAGGAGTTTATGGAGAAGAGAGTTGGCAGTATGGAAAATGAAAAACATGTAGAATATCATTCCTGGGATTTGGTTCCTCTGCCCAATATTAGACCATAAGAGCAGTTTTTTGTTTTGTTTTGTTTTAAATAGTTTGAAGAGTCTTTGGAAAGAGATTTTGGATATTGGTCCTGTTCTATAGCTTTTTGGGAAAGAAATGAAAAGATCTGGTGTAAACTGTGATGAAGACTGTGGCTTCACTTAATTGCATCAATACGAAAATATCTATTAACAAATATTAACAAGTAGGGGAACTGAGACTCAGCAAGGCAGCTTTCCAAGGTCATACACACATTTCGATCTTGATTTTATATTTTGCTAATGTAAACATAGAAATGTTTAATTCCCTTATTGGAATAGACTGGCAAAAGCCCTTTATTTCCCGCGGCGTCAGTTTTCCCATCTGTGAATGGAGAGGCTTAGACAGGATGGAGTCTGAGCCATTTTCACTCTAACAGCCATGGTTAGTTGCGTTGTGAGTTAGCAACATCCCATTATTTCTGGTCCTGGTGTTCCCCATTCTCAGCCTCTCTTTTCTCCTTACAGGCTAGACAATGCTGGAGAATGTAAAAACAACTTTGATGACATGCAGCATGGAAGAGAAGACGAAGATGGTCTTTTCACGCTCTAATGTGCCACTTTTTCTCAGGATTGAGGACGGGGCCATGATCCGGGAATTGTCAAAATAAGTCTTAGAATGTGTTGTTTTGTTTTGTTTTTAAAGCCGCATCTATTCCATTGGTGTCACGATCCAGTCTTGCTTTAATGTCACAAGTGAAAGTACCGTAGAGACCTTTAGCACCTTCTCTGCCAGGTGCTTTAATCTCCTGGGTAGCATCATGCTAAGTGATCGTCCAGACTGTGCTTGAATAATTTCAGTGATGGTGAACTCACTACCACATCTAAAGGAGATCATTCAATCTCAGGTAGGTCTGAGACTTAGAAATATTTAAAACAAAGTCTGTCTCCGGACAGCATCTGCCTATGGATCGTAGCGGAACTCATTGTGTTTACACAGAACATGTGTAATGTCTCTTCTCTCTGGCAGCGCTCCAGATACTGGAAGGAGGGCCTCACGTCTCTCCAAATTGCCCTGTGTCAGGGACATGATTTCTGGTTCCTTCTCTACCCTAGTTGCCTTTGCCTCCTATGCATTTGTATCTCACTGTTTATGCCCAACTTTCGGAGTGCAGCGCCCCCCTCCAGGGATGGTAGGAGCAACCCTGGGTCTGGGTCTCATCAATAATGCCGGAAGCGATGTAGAACCGCACCATAATTTTGGCTCACCTTTTCTTTTTTGAGAAAAAATTCTCCCTTAACCAGGGCTCTGGGGGGGTGGGGGCGGGTGTGGTGGCATAGAGTCAGGAGTTTCCTGCGGCACGAGGCAAAGGTCCCGGTGGAGGTGGGTGTCAGAGACCTCACTGAAGCTGGCGTTTGCCTGAAATCCCCGTCTGTAGTCCTTCCCCTCTCCGATTTGTTCTCCGAGCTGTGGCAGATCTCCTTTTCTAAATGCAGATCAGAGAGTCCTGTCTCCCGACTTCTGCTGTGGAAGAAGCACCTGGGCTCAGCCTGAGGCCCCAGGCAGCTGCCACAGATGAGTGAGCGAGGGAAGTGCTGGGGCTGTTCTAAGTGCAATGTGCCTGTGTCCACTTGAAGGCTTTACCACTCCAACTTAGTTAGGATAACGTCCTGGGCAAGCAACACGTGGCCACGGGCTGGAACAAGGCAACCAGTCTGAGACTCCAAAGTCCAGGAGGTAGGGTGTGGGTTTTACCAACTGATGAATTAATAAATACATAATTCTTACACTGAGACTCCCTGGTCAGGGGAGATTGTTGGTCTAGTTAATTCTCTCTTTCCCTCTCCGTGTAATCAGGATGCATTGGTAACCTCCTACGATAACTTCCGAGTATCTAGGGCCCAGGAGAGAGGATCACTTCGCTTGGAGAGCTTAAAAATCTAAATGAGATGGAACACACATGGGAAATGCGACAGAATGGAATCAGTATTGATTTTCCATTTGCACAAGGAAGGACTTTGATGGAGACGTGGTTCTTACAGCTGATTTTTACATGGTGGGTCCACAGTCCAACCTTGAGGGTTTAGAACAACCTATTTCTGCAACCTTGACCTTGGCCTTTCTAGACTAAATCAGAGATAACATCCAATCCTTAAACAGCATTTGCTTTGGTCTAGTTTTCCTACTAAGTGTTTCAAGGCAATTTCTCATGGAATCCTCATAGCAGCCCAGTAAAACAGGTATATTACTCCTGCTTTTGGAGTGGAGAAAACAGAAGCAGAGAGAGGCGAAGGAACTTGCCCAAGGTCACATGGACCAACCCCCTATGACAGAGCAGGGCCTTGAACCAGGCTGGAAGGACTCCACACTCTTAACCACTACCCTGTACTTCACAGCAAGGGCCTTAATTTAACATTTTGCGCGTACAGAACTGCAGTATTGGCCTCCGTTGGGTCCAAATGGATTTTAGTTTGCTCAACTAAAATCTGGCGGCCTGAGTGTTTTGATGGTTGTCCAATCCCAACCCCTTTATAGCTCAATCTTCCCTTGTCCCCATATTATTTGCTCAGAATCTTATTTGCATTCGCAGAGGAAGCTGCAAGTGGAGAACCTGGCAGGAACCTTAATGAAGCCAGGTGGGACACATTTAAATGGGACTGTGTTGAACTAACTCATGAAGAGCTGGAGCCAGCTGTCAGCAGGCTTAATGAAAGGTTAACAGGAATCCGGCAATGGGTGGCTGGAGAGACTCTTTGTCTCTCTAAAGAAAACACAAATTTGAGAAGTGAGCTCCCTGGGTGAAGGCAAGATCAGAAGGAGGAAGCCACTTGTAACCAGAAGGCTGGGTCTCAAAATAGAATTTCATTTGGATTTGTAAACATGTTATAGTCATTAAAAAAAAAAAAAGGCATTGTGAGTTCTCAGCTCTCTGAACATCAAAGGACAGTGAAGAGAAGGATGCTGGAAGAAGATGAATGCTAATATTGTTATGAGGGTCTTGGGGCGTGCTGGAGATAGCCACTCATGGAACAGAAGATGCGTTTACTTTCCATCTGAGCTGGAAAGGTGCTGTTTGGCGGTTGTATGTTTTATCCATGTTGCGTATGGAGTGGGGGTTGGGGGGTGTCCAGGAAAGACCCTGACTCATCCAGCAATTCAACTCCCATGTTTTATCTGATGAAACTGAGGCCCAGACTGAGGGGGACTGAGTTACCCCAGGCTACACAGGGACCCAGTGCCAGAGCACAGACCTAAACCATGTCTCCCGAACTTCTCTCTGTGGCCATGTCATAAACCTGTTCTTGGATTTTTCTAGGTCCACCTGGATCTGCCTGATTATTTACCCTTCTGAGGTCACATTAAGTTCCTGGTGCATGCAACTCAGCATTTCTTTCCCTTGAACCATCTTTCCCAGCACACCCTTGACCCTGTGGTGGACTGCCATTTCCAGGAAGTGGAATGAGAATGTGGAAGTGCAAAGCCTGGCTGTTCTGTTGCTTTTTGAAGAACACCACCATAATGAGGGTGACCAACTAGTCCCATTTTAAAACTCAAAGTCCCACATGCTGGGAACCCCTTCAGGAGCCCCTAATGACTGTAACATGTTTACGGATCCAGGCAAACTGGGATGATTGGTCCACTTAAGTCTGTAACTAAACCAGAGATGGAAACAACCACCCCCTGAGTTCTTGACTCTCTTGCAGTGATCATTTTTTTGCTGCAATAGTACCCAAGTGGAATTTAATTTGTTTAGATCCAGTCTTAAAATAGACTACTAAATCTAGATGCTAGACCCTTATTAATCAAAACATGGGGCTCAGACCAGGCCATGGTCATCACCTGGGAGCTTGTTAGCCATACAGAATGTCGGTCCCCACCGTAGAGCCCAGAATCATAATCTGCATTTTAATGAGGTTTCCATGTTATTCGTATGAACATTAAAAATTGAGAAATACTGGCCTAAAGCATTGATTTTTAAAGTCAGCTGCACATGGAAATCATATGGGGATTTCAGTAATAAAAAATACTGATGTTTGACTCCTTTTTAGGATCCTGATTTTAATGGGCATGGGGGAGACCTGGCTCTCAGGAGTTCTTAGACCACCTCGGATAACACTAAGGCACAGCAATGACTGTAAGCCACAATTCTAAAGGGAGGGCAGCTTTGCACCAGAAGGAATTGTTGCTAATTCATCAGGACAACTTTTGGCCTAAGTTACAAGTTTATGTGGGTCTAGTACCCCCACATGATTTTGCTCAAAGAGATGATCAATAAAATTGTTCAAGAATATCTGAGGAGACATGATAATGACCTAAATGTCCCAATTACTATGGATGAGGCCCATTAAAGTAATTAAAAGCCAAGATATAATATTTGGTCTGTGGAAAGTGATAATGAGAAAACAGAAAAGATAAATGGAGAAAGAATATCTGGGGGTAAAAGGGATGCTATTAATCTTTCAGAGACATCAGAGGGATAATGAGATGATGCTAGGATTATAAGAGAAACATGGAAGACTGGTTAAGTGGAAACCTTTGTTGCAGAATAAAGAACTTGGTAAAAAGGCAACTCTCTGCCCTCTTGTACCTAAAGATAATGGGAGACCCTTCTCAGGGCACAGTTATTCATTGTCTTAGAAAGATGGTATTCAGCTGCAAGTAAGAGAATACTAAAAAGTAGTGACTTAATTAAAGACTTTTAATTAGTTCACATAACTAGAAATCTGGATTTAGGCTGTTTGATGGTTGGTTCAGCAGCTTCGCAGAAATGAGATATTAGAGTCTCTGTGGTTTCTTTTGGCTTGTCCCCCAAGGTTGCAATATGGCTGTCACAACTCTAACGTGCCCTCACACAAAAGGATCCCAAACAGGAAGGCAGGAGGTGGAAGGGAATGGAACTTTCCCCCTAATATGACTTTTATCCTTTATCAAAAAGGGAAATCTGCCATAGAAGTTACCAGAAGACCCTCCCATATGCTTCAGTGGACATAACTTCACTGAATCACATGCCCACCCTTTGGCCAAGGGGAATGAGAGATCTGGGACTAATTTACATCAATCATGACTCAGCCCCCAGGGTGTACACATGCCATTTAGCCAAAACTTACAATCAATCAGCATGGGAGAAACTGAGAATGGCTGTTGGGTCAACAACCTTGATTTCCAGCACACTCAATCATCCAACCAAAGTATCTTGGGTGTCTCCTATGTGCCAAAGGGCCCTGTTGGGTGCTGGGGTGTAGGAATGAACTGGACAGACCGAGGCCCTCTTCCCTGACAGCTTATAGTCTACAGAGTCACCTCCATCTGTATTATGCATTCTGTGATTCCAAATGTTTGGATCATTTTTAATGTACCTGAGAGGCAAAAGAATGAAGGGATTTAAACAGGATAAAAGTTTAGAAATTCTGCATACACACCTTGAAGCTGGGGGACTGAACCTCTCATGCAAGTGTCAGGAGTCAATCGAGGAATGAGGCAGAAATATTTAGCCCTGGTAGATGAAGAAAATTGTAGCAAAAATTCTTAGCCACAGTGACACTTCGTAAGTATGGCGGAGAGTAGGCAGCTTGGGGTAAAAGCACATGGTAGAGTAAGGAAAATAACCTCTTCTGTGTTTCTATGCAGTTTCCTACTTTTGTAAGAGTTTCCAAACCCATAATACTTTGTGTCAGAGCCAGAGCATATCCCCATTTGATAGGGGAGAAAAATAGAAGCCCAGACAGGTAAAGTCACTGTGTTCTCGCCAGGGTGAGTGAGACAGGACTAGAAGCAAATGTCCCGATTCCCCCTCAATCCAACTGATAAATATTTTTATGGGGTGCCTACTATGTGCACCTAGCTTTGTGCTTGGGCCCAGTAACAGTGCTAGTAGTCATCACTAATAATACTTGAGCCCTTTCTGGATGTCAGACGCTACCCTAAGCACTTTACATGCATTATTTTATATAATCGTAACAGTTTCTCTATGAGAGGGTTGCCAGTTTTATCCCTGTTTGACAGGTGAGGAAATGGAAGTTCAGATTCATGAAGTAGGTAGCCTGCAGTTGAGCTGGGATTCAAACCCTGCAGCAGCTTCAAAGCCCATGTCCTTGACCCTAGCACTCTGGCCCTTCCAGGTGTACGAAGTGCCTTAGTGATCTCTTCTTTGGCTCTACTCCCATGTGAGGTGGACGGGATTGCACTGGGGATCCTAAGTTTGGTGTCCTCCTTCTCTAAGTCTGTCTGATTGGGCCAACCTGGAAATGGATGGGTGAGTGTGAAGGGCACAAAGCCAGAGGGTCTCACATTCTTGAAGAGACTCAAATTTAGCTTTACCTTCAAATGGAACTATCTATTCAGGCTCAGAGATTGAATAATGAGGATCTGGCACTTAAAATATTCTATGAATGTGGCTCCCATCCCCCTTTAAAAATATACCTGAAGAAAGAGAATGCAAAGGGCCTGGGTCCTACTCTCCTGCAGGGCCCCTGGTCCTGTCTTCCTCTTCCCTGCCTCGTCCTCATGCTGCCACTTATCTCTTCTCTCTACCCTGTTTATCTCTGTTTCCTCCTCAGCTTCTTTTCCTTCCCTTCTCTGAGATGTGTCTTATCTCCCTTCAGCAGCTCCATCAACAAAGTCCTATCATTTTTTCTCCTGCTTCAGGGTGCCTCAGCATCATTTTAATCTGTCCCTCTGAGCTTTGCTTTTCAATCTCTTCCCAAACTTAATCTCAGCCCCTCCTTCACTTAGATGAAGAAAAGACCTGAACAAGATTACATTACCTGACAATACCTTCCGGCTCTGGGATCAAGATGATTAGAAAAGACAGCAGAGTCTTGCTTCACCACTGTGCCCTGGGTATGCTGTGGTAAGAAAAGTTTTTTAATTAACCTAAGACTCACCATCAATTAATGCTATAACCTCCACCACCAGCGCCCTGCTTTCCTGCCTTTTTTTTTTTTTTTAAAACTGTTGTTGAAAATCTTGCAACATGTTGGTGTGTTGGAAAGAACACAGGTCTTTGAGTCAGACTGGCCTAGAACCCAAAGCTGCTCTTGCCCAGCTGGATAGCCCAGGACAAGTTGCTTGGCTTCTCTTAGTCTCAGCTTGATCATTTGTAAATATGGAATAGTCATGGGACCCTCATAAGTAAGCATTGAAAGTAGCAATATCAGTAAAGCAGTTAACACAGTGCTTGGCACAGGGTAGATGCTCTATGACTAGTAGGCTCACTCTGCTAACTCTGCAGCCCTAACCAGTTTAGAGTTATAAGTCTATGTTAATTGGAAATTGTTGGCAGGACTTGCGGAGTCCCCCACTGAGGATACGTACAGTGCACTTGCAGAACTGGAACGTTGAGCCTGTGGACTTCCGGTCTATCTCAGGAGCTGCACGTATGTCCCCTGATCTGGGCTTCTCATACTTTAGATGGCCTAAGAATCATCTGAGAACATGTTAAAATGCGTATACCTGGGTCCATCCCCCAAAGATGCTGATTCAGTGAATTGGAATTGGGCCCTACTACCTGAATTTTTATGAGACTGACTACCTGAATTTTTAATGACCTCAATAGAGTTCTGAAGCATTGGACAGTGGATCCTCTGAGAGTGTGGCTCAGGGGCTGACATTTAGACAGTGCTCATAGTAGCTAGCCTGATTCCTAGCCACTCTGCCCTCCCTCCCTTCCCTGGATTCTGACCCTGCTTTTTACCTTTCTTTGTCTTTGGACCCTGTGTTCAGCTCTAGTTTGGCTCTGATTTTGTTCTTTCTTGGTTCATCATGGTCAGCCCCAGGGCATTCTCACCCTCTGGTTCGTACCTTCAGCCACCCCTACCTGCCTGAGGTTTGGCTCGGCTTAATCTTGTGTTCCATGTTAAACTGTTCTGAAGTGACCCTGGCACTCCTGAAGCTTCTGTGCACCAGTTATGGTTGTCATTTGTCATCCTCTCCTGCCTCTCTTGTATGCCTTTGGGACCCGCCACCCCTTTGGACTTCCAAAGGGATGAAGACCTAAGGGAAGATGGCAAGGGCACCCTTTTGAATTTGAATCATAATTTTAAAGCACCAGGAATGTGGAGAGTGGACCCTGCACTGAATTTTTATTGCCCCTAAGATATATGCTGGATTATTATTTTTTTAAGATTTTATTTATTTATTTGACAGAGAGAGACACAGTGAGAGGGGGAACAGAAGAAGGGGGAGCGGGAGAGGGAGAAGCAAGCTTCCCGCGGAGCAGGAGCCCCATGTGGGGCTCGATCCCAGGACCCTGGGATCATGACCTGAGCCAAAGGCAGACGCTTAACTACTGAGCCACCCAGGCGCCCCTGTTGGGTTATATTTTATTTTAGTTTTAAATTCACCTCATATATCTTGGTTCATTGTGGGGGTTTTCCATCCCTGCCAAATGGTAAAGAATATAAGGAAAATGCTCTAGATTCTGTCTGGATTCTTTTTTTCTTTTTACATTGTGGATATACAGATAGATAAATAGATATATAATTTTTTAAATTGTGGATATATATATACATACATATATCTCATGAAATTTTTCATTTTAACCATTTTAAGGTGGTTAACCATTACAACTCAGTGGTATTAATTACATTTACAGTGTTGTACAACCATCACCATGATCTATTCCCAAAATTTTTCATCATCCTAAACAGAATCTCTCTAACTACTTAAGCAATAACTCTCCATTCTCCCTTCCCTCAGCACCTGGTGACCACCATCTACTTTTTTGTCTCTATGAATTCGCCTATTCTAGATATTTCATATAAGTGGAATTCTATAATATTTGTCTTTTATGTATGGCTTATTTCACTTAGTGTAATGTTTTCAAGGTTTGTCGGTATTGTAGCATGTATCAGAACCTCATTCCTTTTTATGGATGAATAACAACCCATTGTATGAATATACCACGTTTTGTTTATCCATTCATCTATTGATGGACACTTGGTTTGTTTCTATGTTCTAGCTGTTGTGAATAATGCTGCAGTGAACATTGGCATACAAATATTTGTTCAAGTACCTGCCTTGAATTTTGTTTGGTATAT